TAAGACGTTCAATAGGAACTCCTAAAGCTAAATCCTAGGTTCTAGGGAGAGGAAGGAAAGACCTCACAAAAATGAGATCAACACGCACTTCTATTCCCATTAGCTTATGAACACTATAATAAAACTTTTTTTTTGTCTTCCTCAATTTGTTATACAAGAAATTCTTCAAAGGACTCTTTTAAATCTATCATGTACAAGATGAGAAGCTTTCCCAAAGTTGATGTTGAATGATAGATAGACTTAATAAATACTTCTTGATACTCTCAAATGTCTCTTGACAATTTGTATCAGATTTAAATGGAGCGTTCATTTTCATCAATTTGGAGAATAATTGGCACCAACCTGATATATTTGGTAGGAATCACTAAATAATTGTGAGTTGTCCTTGCAAATAACGAAGTTAGTGCAAACGCTTCGACACGGGCATCTCAATTTCTTTATAACATGTAATATACACAAGGAACTTTTCAGAGTATACCCAAAGACACATTTAAGGGATTCATTTTGAGATCAAATTTTCTAATCATTCTAATACAGTTATGAACTCTACGAGATGATCTTTTCGGTCCTTGCTTTTGTCGATAATAGCATACACGGAGCAATATACTTTATGATAGATAGATTCATCATATATATGAGTCATAGCTTTTTGATAAATAACCCAACCATTCTTCAAGCCGAAATGAATGATCATAGAGCAATCAATGTCACTAGACATTCTGAATGATGTATGGTCTTCATCATATGGAGTTATGTTGATATGATTATATCTCGATCATTTGCCAAAAAGAGAACAAATCATAATTTGAAGTATTGTCAACCAACAGTTCAGATAAAGAGAATGAAAAGTCATGTTTTGTGCACATATTAATTCTTTTTCTTCATGGAGACAATGCTAGAGATCCAATCAACATAATTCTCTTTTCGAATGAAGCCTGCCAAAAAAACTTTTTGATCTCAAGAACAACCAGCTCATCATTCTCTGGTATCATATTGCTTGGAGCATATTTAATGGGCGATAGCTAATGTTTGAATTATCACAGGTATAATCCAATAATTTTAACATATGTTTAGGGAATACAGCCCGTGAATTCAAAAAGATTTTCTTATTTTCGATTTTCTCTTCGAGAAGAATCACGCTGATAAAAGTTGGGTGAGCATCACGCTCAATTCTCAAATTAATCTCCTTCAGCTCATCCATTGTAGTAGCCTGCCCACCATCTTCTAATTCTTCTTGGGCGAGCTTGACTTTTACATTTTAGTCATTAGGGAGATATTTTTCATATATAATTTCTTTATCTTCAATTTCAATTTCCTTTTATGTTATTGTATAAAAAATTGCCCTTTGAGAAAATTTTTGCTCGAGGCATTAGTAGTATGATTGTTACCATTGCGGCCTACATGTGAGCCTTTTTATTCCATATTGTTTTTCAAAATAACAAGCACACTATTTGGTGAAACTAGTATGATCTCCGAGCTTCTAAATTTATTTCAAACCTTAGAGGGTAGTAGGTAAGTATTTTGGTGGCATTGTCTCTTTAAATTAAACATATTGAACGAGACAATCAAAATCACAAGGTTGGTACTCCCTGAACTAGAAAAATAAAATCTTTGGCCCGCGGCCACTTCCAAGCAACAGTGGTACATCGAAAGTTTCTAATTCTTCTACATTAGGGACTTCATGATGAGTGATTTCCTTACAGTGCAAACCAAAGACAAGTGTGACCTTGAATGAGTCATTTAATATCAACAATTTGGACATTCTTCTTGAAGAGAACCATTGAACCCCACTTTTATAGGTAAATTCAAAATCGTTTTTTCTTCTTTATTCTTCCCTTTTCTTGAAAGCTCCCATGCTTTCTTGGGCTTGACAAAGATTTCATATTCCTCCTCAATATCACATCCCAAGTGATGAACAACCCACTTCCATTAGGATGGGGAACTAGTTGTCTTAGGAAAAATAGCGTTGTTTTCTTTCTCCCTCTTTGCATTTGTTTTTTCCCCCTTTGAGGTTGTTTTGCAGTCCATGAAATAGATGACATTGTTTTAAGGGGTTCTGATTGTTTAGGTTCTTATGGGATAAAATATTTTGTTTTCGTGGACGACAAATGAATGTATGTTGCCAGGAATTATAAATCATTTTCTGTCCCTTTGGTTCTTCATGCACTGATACATAGTGAATGGCACCATTTCATACTCATGAAGCCATGGCCACTCCAAAGGAGCTCTGGAAGAGGTATTCGTGTCGATCACATGAAACTTCAAGGGTATTGTTAATTTATAGATCACATAGAACTTCAAGGGAACCATCAATCACACAAAACTTCAAGGGAACCATTAATAAAGCTTCCTAAAGTTAAGTGGAAGGACAAAGGATGCTAGAGTCTATTGTCAATTTTCATTTAAGTCGTGAGCCTTAATTTTTATCTCAAATTGTTGAACATCAAGGGATAGCCACCTTTCTGCTCGCAAACTCATGAGATTTGTGGAGTATGGATCAATAATATTTTATTAATCACAACTCCATCATTCTTCATAGTGCCATACAAAAGGCAGTTATTTTTTATGTCCCAATCATGAGGTCTTCTTTGGAGAATGTGATTGCCAGGAGATCTTGTTATTTTAAATATTTTGGTCAAACACTGCTCAACAAAATGTCTCATATCTCTCCGGGTAGTTGAGAGTTTGTAATAAAGTTTCTCAGAGATCCTTCCAAAATAAAAGAGTCTCATACACATTAAGTTATGCAAGGATCTTTCTCAGATGTAATAGGACATTATAGTCAACCCTTTTATTTGAGATGGATTTTCTCTTTATTTATCACAATATCTTCTCTTTATTTTTATTTGATGATTCTTTCTTCATTGGTGATGGAGTTCCCTATCACTCTTTAATTGAACCTAGATCACTTCATCACATTCAAACTCTTTGGATGAATCGATTGATCTGGAGGCTCATTTAAAAGATTTTGAAACACTGCCCAACTTCACATGCTCAAATTGGGATATCATTGGACACCTTCACTTTCATCAGAAAAATATAGGTCCGCCTCTGAGTCATCATATATCTGCAGCACCATCAAACATGTGACTATACTTGTAAATTTCCACCTTTTGCTGGGATAGATTTCTTTGATATTTTTAAACTCATAAATTCTCTTGAACTTATTGCTTGATCCCTATCACAAGTCTAAGATAGTCTTTGTCTAGTGACATTAAATGTCACTTAAATAATTTGGCATGATTCAATGGGAAGTGAGTCTTCACCTTTTTCCTCCTGTTCATTTCACTCTGTAATTGGGAGCACAGAGATGAAGTCCACAAGCCTAATTAACTTGACTGAAATTTTCTCAATAAGTACACTCTATTCAATTTATGGTAGCTTATTGAAGTCATCCTACACGATCTTTGAGAGACCCTTGAAATCTATCCCCTTAAGCGATCACAACCAAGCTCACTAAATGTTTAAATTTCTTACTATTATTGATCATAGAGTGATTAGGGTAAAACCAGTAAACAACCCATCATGTCATCTTCATCCACTGCAACCATGACCGTCTATGATTCATAATATTGATAATTTCAATCTCTAAAATGAAGAAATTTTGCAAAGAGTGCACCACGTTAAGGATCCAATTTTACTCTCCAAGAAGAATCCAACACATATAACTAAAGTTGAATCACTCATCTTTGGAGAACAGCAAAGTTATGTCTGAGCTCCTTGAAGCTCATCAATATGCCATCGCCTACAATCCTACAGATATCTACAATGTTCAACCATACATCATTGTTTACTCTCAACATGGACACTGCCTTAGAGCTGGTGTCACAAAAGCATAAAAGAAGCATCACTTTGCTTGGTACGACCTCAAGGCCATCAATTAAGAAATTGAAAATCTTAGGGGGGTTAATTTATCAAAAATTTCATTCCATGCTTGGCTCACTAATATTTTTATGGCAACAATCGAGGATGCGCATGAATTACACCATACATAGCAAAAATTTTGCACCAAAGGCAATTTTCCTCTACTTCCCATTGACCAATTTGTCAACACGGTCAATTCTGAATGAACCCTACAAAAGATAAGGCTACATCCTTCCACACTAAAAAGAAGTTATATTGCGACAAGGTGAATAATGTAAGGCCTAAGAAAATTGATGCAAATTATCAACGGATGATGACCAAAATTTTCAAGAATCTCATACTATATCCATTAAAATTGATCAACTAGAACATCCCAGAAGCAGCAACATCCAATCCCATTTTGATCATGAGAAGATAATATTTGCAAAATTTTGTCATCAATAATCATAAGGAATGTCAGTCTAAAGTTTGGAAAAAGCTATTGTCTGTAACTATAATAATGTATTAGACAAAGACCAATTTAGAAAATGCAACCGATAACCCAATGGAACACAAACAATTCTATTTAACTCGTCAAATTTAAACGCCCAACCATACGGCAAACATGACAGTAGAATTTCAGGTAATTCGACTCTAAAACCTTCTCCCCAATAGTTAATAATTAACAGAACGGAAGAGGATAAAATAAAGTTGGAAAAAACAACTAAAGTAGAAATTTTTAAGAGCCAGGTAGAATCAAGCAATTGTATATGAACAAAGATAAAAATTAGATAGACAGATATGCATAGACTTGTACGGGAAATGGATATTTCACCGTCACATAAGTTTGGTAGAGCCAAGTTTAATGATAGCAACCATGTTTTATGAAGTGTAGCCCTTCTAAGCACAAGTGTCACCAACACTAATATTAAATCGTTTAATAAAAAACCAGCAATAATTCATAGTTCTTTCAATGAAAGCTACCACATAAAAATTTGGTTAGCTGCAACATCCCTGCATAATAGTAGTTGGCTACAACAATTGCATTTTTTTCTCAGAAAGTAAAATCCATGAAAAAAAAATCAGAAGAAAAGAACTAACAACCTCTTAAGTTATAGTCTTTGATTAACAACATGCCCAAAATTTAGTTTTCAAACCTCGTAATGCTTCATTCGTGCGGCTGAGATTGTTCCTCTAAATTGATTGCTTGCTTTAAGTAAAGAGGACCTCGATATAGAACCTCCAAGAAAAAAAGAATCTGGCAATTCAACGGGCTTTGAATGAGCATGTCTAGTAATGCTTCTTCTAAGCTGTGTGAGAAAGAAAAATTCATCTTAACTTCAAATTTAACCTTTCTTGCAAGCCATAGATGTAAAAACACAACACCCTGTTACAAGCTCCTATATCACTTACAGGTCCAGGCAAGGAACAATACTACTAGACACTTAATACTCTACTAGAAATAGAAAATGTATATGGCTGGAACAGAAAGCCTTAAAGTTACTAACATAAAAAAAATAAGAAAACAAACTATGCTCTAACAGTACTCTCACAGTGGATTCAGGTAAACTTTTGGTTAAAGTACATTGACTCCGCTTTCAAATACAAGTAAAAATTAGTGGACTAGTTTTCACAAAGTTTAACTTCAAATACTTGCATTGAGGTTGTTGTGCATCGTGGATTTAATTTCAATGGTCTACAATAACGTAGACATAAAAAAGTGGTGTCTCATTCAACTTAATCTTACATGCAGACGCACAACTCGTTCCTCTATACTCGGCTCAAAAAACTCACAAGGGAGAGACCGAGCCAAAGCTCTTGCGCGCAAGAGCTCGGGTGTGGGAGGAGCTTCACGTGTTTAGGGTTCAACCGTTTGAGGTAAGGTTTATTTATTTGATTAATAAAACTAATATAATATAATATATATATATATATATCTATATGTCTCCGCCTATAATGATGATGGACGGCTCGGGCGCTCTGCTAGGGTTTAGTTTTGTTGGCAATCGAGTGGCGATTCGGGGATGCTGACAGCGTAGATTCCCTCTCGACGGTCGTACTCCGGTGAGATCTTTCCTTTCGTTTGGTGTTGGCTTCTCCTCCGCTCTCGTCTTCCATTCTCACCTCTTCGCTCTCTCGTCGGCTATGGCAAAGACGTATGTAGGCGTCACTGCGGGGTTTTCACTCCTCCGATGTTTGCATTTCCCTCTTCCTTTCATGATTCACTAGTTCTTGGAGGGGAATACAATTTTATCAAGTCTCAGGGAGGGGGATGTGCGCTTTTTCTCTCCGACTCTGAGAACTCTACTCTTGCTTCTGTCTGTCGTTTCCATCTTGTAGGTAAGTTCCTTTATGGGCTTATGAAATATGATTTCTTGCTGAAATATTTTGAGCTTTTGAATTTATAGGGGGGTTGGAAGATCGGTGCTCTTGATAGCAGACATATTCTGATCCAACTTTCTAATGAGGGTGACTATGCTAAGATTTTTGCACGTAGAACAGTTCATTTTGGTGATGTCTAGATGAAGGTCCTCAAATGGACAACCGAGTGTGATCCTAGGACCGAACTACCTATTATTCCTGTCTGGCTTCGTCTTCCGGGGTTAAAGGTGCATTTGCTCAATCACAAAATTTTGTTCTTTATTGCTGCTATGTATGGTAAGCCTTTAATGCTTGATGTCCCCACCTTCAACTTAACAAGACCTTCAATGGCTAGAATTTTAATTGAACGTGATGTTACCTTGCCTCCTCCGGAGGGGATTTGGATTGGTTCTACTCATACGGGTTATTAGCAACCGGTGTTTCTTGAGAAACATCCTCACTACTGCTCGCACTATACTATGTTTGGTCATGATTCAGCACACTGTTTTCATTTACATCTTGAATTGCGGAAATCCACTTCTGGCCGTGTGGCCTCTGCTGAGCAGAAAGCTGTTCTGCGAACTACTCATTCTGAACCTGCTGCTCAGTCCGCTGAAGTTGCTTACGTGGGCCCTGATGATCAAATTGCTCCCTGTTTGAAGGCAACCAGTGTTGCTCACACTGAGGAAGTAGCATGCGTGGGTCCTGTACCCGTACCCACGGAGAGAGTTGAAAATGTGGAACTCATTACCACACAAACGGAATCTGTGGCTCAGATTCCTATTGTTTTACCGGAACAATTTGAGGCTCAGGATCCCCCACAAGCAACTACTCATCCATCTACTCCATTGGTTACTCCTCCACCGCTGGACCCATCTTCTATGGCTGCCATGGCTTTAGAATCTTAATGGACAATTCAAAAATATAGCAGGAGAAGAGGTAGAAGGAAATCAGAACTCCCAATTACGACACAAACAAACTATATTGATGTCACATATCATTCGGAAGGTGCTTTCCCTAGGTTTGCTAGGAGGGGAGGTGTCATGGGCCAAAATGTTTAACATTTTAGTATGGAACATTAGAGGAGTAGCGGACCCACACTCCTTTAATCGTCTAAAACATTTATATAGGGTCCATAAGTCAAGCATTTTTGTTCTTTTGGAGCCGTTTGTTGTTCATAAAGAGGATATCCTTAAGAAATTCAAGGGATACAAGCATTACAGTAATCAGAACAATAAAATTTGGCTCTTTTGACAGAAAGACATTACTCTTAACATTATTGATGATAACGTACAATATGTTCTTCATTATCAGTTGGAGAATTTTTATGGTTGGGCTACCTTCATTTATGTCAGCTCTCTTTTAAAGGACAAACTTCTCCTTTGACAACAACTTACTCATATGGGTGTCATTATTTCCGAAAATTGGTTCGTTGGAGGGAATCTAAATATGATTATGTCACCTTCGGAGAGAAGGGGTGGTGTTAAGGTTAATACAAGCCTTATCAACCGTTTCTGTGAACATATTGAGGATGCTGGCCTTTATGATTTAGGCTTTTCGGGTTCTCCTTATATTTAGCAGAGGGGTTTTCTTATGCAGAGACTGGATAGATTTATGGGAAACTCATCTTTTCTGGGTTACTACAATATTATTCATGTCAAACATCTTAATTATGCTGCATCGGACCACAATCCTATTTTGCTTACTTTAGCTTTTCATTTTAAACTTGCTCGTTATCACTTTAAATTTCTCAATGTTCATCCTACTTTTATTGACTTGATTAAGCAGACTCGGGTCTCGAGATGGAGTGGTAACCCTTGGATCATTTTGTGACAATTACATAAGAATGTTGCTTCTTGCCTAAAAAGGTGGAACATAAATACTTTTGGTAATGTTCATTATAGGGTCTCGAAGGCCCAACAGGAGGTCGATACCTTAGAGGCGCAGGTGATAGACACTCCTGATCTGATGGTCAAGTTAGCTAATGCTCATCATACTCTTTTGGAGGAAATCACTGTTGAGGAAGATTTCCTCAGACAGAAAGCTTGTGACACTCATTTCAAAAACGACAATAGAAACACTAAATATTTTCATGCTACTATCAAACATCATTGTAATATAAATACCATTATTAAGATTGTTACTGATGAGGGTATCTGTTCTCACTGATGCAGATCAAATTGGTCCCAATGCAGCTGATTATTTTTTTTCTTTTTATGCTGAGACTCTTCCGGTCACTGATATATTATCGGAATTGTTTGATGATCAGAGGGACACGATTTCCTCCCTCTCTTTGTCCGACCCTTCTACCGAATTAGAGATTTTAAATGCCCTTAAAGATATTAGTTCTCAAAAGGCTCCTGGCCACGATGGTTTCACTTCTGTTTTTTATATTTCCTAGCATCATAAAGAGAGAAGCGGTGCTTGCGATTCAAAGTTTTTTTCAGGGTAAAGACCCTGGAAAGTATTTTTCTGCCGCTCTGATTGTTCTTATCCCTAAATCTAACGATAAAACTCATTGGAAGGACTTTCGGCCCATCTCGCTCACTTCTGTGATATCTAAAATTATCAGTAAACTGATTGTGGCTCGTCTTCAACCACACCTTCCTTCTCTCATCTCTCCCCACCAGTCGGCCTTTATTAAAGGACGTGATATTTCTGACAATATTCTCTTAGCTCAGAAAATTTTGCAGGATCTTGATAAAAAATGCAGGAGAGGCAATATTGTTATCAAATTAGATATCAAGAAGGCCTTTGACACCATTAATTGAGATTTCATCATCAATGTTTTGAAGGCCAGAGCTTTCACTACCATGTTTTACACCTTGATAAAAAGATGGTTGGCTAACAACTATTTTTCCATGCTGGTAAATGGTAATTCATATGGATTTTTCACTGCTTCTCGTGGCATCAATTTGGGGGGCCCTCTCTCCCCTATTAATTTCATTTTAGCTTTCGATTATTTATCTAGGATGCTCAACCATTTCCAGCTGTTACACCCTCACACAGTTTTATCATAAGGCCAAGATGATGGTTTCACATCTTGCTTATGCTAATTATGTGATTAATTTTATCAATGCCTCTAAGCTTGCTCTAAAACAATTGATGGGGCTCTTAAAGGATTTTCAGAATTGTTCTGGACTCCTCTTTAATTGTGATAAGTGTCGGATGTTTTTTGGCAAGCACGTTAAGCACCAACTTATTTATTGGGGAGTTGTCTTTACTGGCTTTCATCATGTCTTTCTTCCTCTCAAATATCTTGGGGTAAATTTGATTCGGGGAAGGAAGAAACAAATACATATGGATCTAATGGTGATGGAATTGATAAAATCAAGAGTAAAATCAACGATTGGAGAAATGTTTTCCTTTCTACTGGGGGTAGGATTTCTTTGTTTTCTAGTGTTCTTCAGAGTATTCTACTATATGTTTTGCAGGTGTTTAACCCAAAAAAAAGTGTTATCAATATTATGGAGAGGCTTTTTAACAAATTCCTTTGGATGGGGAATGGGGCTAAGAAAATTTGGGGCTCTTGGCATATGGTTTGTAAGCCTAAGAAGACTGGCGGTTAGGCTTTAAAGCTTTGAAACATACAATGAAAATAAACCTTTGCAAACTTTGGTTCAAATTTAGATTGGGTTCATCTCTATGGGCTTCCTTTATGCATTAGAAATATTGTGCCCAAACTCATCCTTCCCAGGTTATGTGGAAGGTTGGTGATTCCCGCATTTGGAAAGCAGTTATAAATGCTAGAACCACTGCTAAGGATTTCATGTTTTGAGATATAGGAGACAATATCTCTTTCTGGAATGATAATTGGGGGTTGTCTCATCTTCTGAATACTTTCACCCTCTACATTCTAACTCCTTATTAGTTTCTGATTTCTTTTCTCAAGATGACTGGGATTCTTTCCAATTATGTTCTATTGTGGGGAGCAAAATGCAAAGCATAT